TGAGACCCGCAAAAGGGGGAGGGCTCGCGATTTGCCCCCGATATAAGGTCCCAGGGTGAGAGACGAGGCTCCATAGGAGATGCTGCCATGGGGGACCTATCCGGTACTACCCGAGAACCATAATCTTTCTTAGGAACAGCTTCTACAGAGATTTGATTGAAACACCCAGGTGCAGCATCACATTTGACACCTGACGAAGGTACAGCCCAACTATGAGGTACATCAGCAGGTGTTACAATAATACGTATATGAGTTTTGTCCGGTACAACCACTCTATTGTCCACTATTCCTTGCATCATAGGTGTTGCTGCGTCTTGAAATCCTAATTGCCATGATTTCACTGCCTCAATTGTGAGGAATAGCCATTCTAGAACAATCATTTGGGTTGGTTCATTCTTTAACTGCTCCGCCCCCCCCAAAAAAAAGAAGAGAGACTTGTTCTTGCTCTCCCAATTCAGGAAGACGTGAGTTGTGGTTGGTTGTTGACCAACGGAAAGCATGGGAGAAAGAAAAAGATATCGTGATGTAAGTCTGTCTAGACGGAGTGAGAAGCTGTGAAGCTTTCTCCAAATACCAACTCGGCGAACCAAAGATCGGAGAGGACATCATTGAGAAAAGGTGCGGGCAAGGTCGAGGGCGAATCGGTTGAGGTGTTAAGGGCGACCTCGTGGGTCGACAAGGAAGAAATCTAATCGATGATCTCTTACGCAATTTATAAATGCCTCTCTTTTTATGCATTTCGTTGAGATCAGAATTCGGGTATGCTTTCATTCACATCTGATAACTTAAGAAATGGATTGATGCATAGATCGGACCCTTCCCTAAAGCTATTGACCGAGTCAGGCATCTATCGCTCCCATCTCTTCTCTCTGCCCCTTCACTAACTACGCGCATACTTACTTTCGATCCGGCGTAGTGAAACAGTAGCTAAAGAAGAAGTACGACTTTGATGTGTTAAGAATACGCCTCTGGTTCTCAACTTAATCACCCTCCACCCCTCATGACTCACGCACGTCACACTGTCTAGATCTCTAAATTTCACATTGAGGAATTCCTAACTCTGTCCACAAAACTTGAATACGAAAAAGATCCACAATGCCATCATTGTATGGCCAATAGTAGTACATGACTTGACTTGGCATCTTTCCTATCTTTCTCTTTCCCCATAGATTGATTATATTTAACAACACCGAAAGCGATTCCATCACAATGATATCCCTTTGGTTTGGTTGGGTAATGGCTCGCATCTTTCCCGCCTTGTTCGGTTTCGGTATCCAGTAGCGGGACATGGGCGAGAACTTGAACGTAAAGCTCATTAGCTTAGCTTTTAATTCGCCTATTTCTTGACTGGAGTGCCTCTCTTGATAGAGCGGTTTCATCTCCCATAGATAATCCATAATTAAGGCATAGTTTCGTCATTAACGGCATTCGATTAACTTCTTTTCCGTCAAGGAACTTATCCCGAACGCTTTCATACACTGTTTTTCTGACATGGGTTGACATCGCCTTAGATTTACAGTCCCTTCATTCGCTCCTCATTACCGGAGCGGTATACCAATAAAAAAAATAAAGAAAGGGTATCCTGCCCCTTCCTAAATCTCGACACCCCGAGGAGGATGGGGCCCCCGTTCGCTAACCCCTTGATCCTTTCTTTTCTTATTTCTTTTCTTTATTATCTCTATTATTCCCTTAAGAATAATAGAGATAATCAGCTCTTTAGTTGAAACTGGCTGCTATCTTCCTAAACAGGAAAGGGGGAAGAGCTTCTATTGAATTTCTTTGAGTAAGGGCTTTCTGAAAAGGCGTAGCTGCAATTGGGCTTCGGTTTGTACTTGAATCGATCTTGCCTTGGTGTTGCCCGAAGGGCAAGATTGACCTTTCTCCTCCGTTAACAGACTAGGCTAAGAAAGCAGAAAATCCCGATCTTCTCACCATTTTTTTCTCTTTGCTTTGAATAGCTATCGTACTCAAGGGATGAAGGAATGGATGCAGACTAAGAAAATTTTTCAATCGATTCAGATTTAGCATTCCTAAATATAGGACCTGCAACGGCAGAGACTTTTTTAGCTCTTTCACTCCGTTAAATAGTTACTATGTTCGGAATCATAGCAGGAAAGACGAGCTAAGCTTGAAAACTTCTAGGCAACAAGTCTTTGATTCGATTGATTTTCACTCTTTCATCCAAAAACTCTAACTAGTCCATCAGCCAAACCCTTCCACTATTCGTCCAGTGAAGAAGTTAGGCATATGTAGCAAAGGAAGCAGTCCCATGCCTAAGGGACTTTTTTTCAATGGAAAGAATAGGCTTGGGCTCACCATCCAAGCTCCCTCCTAGAACGGAAATTGGGCTGCAGTTCTGTCTTTCCTTAGAATCAATATCGTAGCGTAGAGTAATCACAGAAGTCAAAGTCAGACAAGAGTTTACTAGGATTTTGAAATCCGTTGATTGAATGTCTATTACACTTTAACATCCTAGGAAGTTTTAACTGTTGTTTCATACCAAGGGAATTCTATAATAAGTGCATTTACCCTGAATCAAGAAATCCCAAGATCTCTCGAGAAGAGGAAGAAGAGTTGGCAGAGATTCTCTCAACAATAAAAAAGAAGAAGCAAGAATATAATCATTGAATTTCAATGCTCGGGCCGGGGAAGCTTTATTTGATGGCAGCTAGATGGCTCTGTAGCCTTTTCCGGGGTAAGGAAATCTTGATTCAAGGGCATGATGGAATTGATTTAAGTAAGAGTTGCTCCGTGGGAAGATATTTTCTCGATTGTTTAGTAGTCAAGCAATCTCCGAGAAGAGTTTTGCAGGGAAAGCTGCTTTTTTTCTACTACTTTCATCGGAATTGGCTTAGTGTTCATTTTACCATATCTTAGTACAAGTACAAGGAAGCGAAGGCGACCATGGGAAGCTTTGCTTTGGCTTTGGTTCGTTTTTCCGAGGGTGAGAAAAGAAAGATAATATCAACAGACCAAAGGAAAACAACTGAGAAAGATAGATGCCACTAAATTAGCTACTGCCATAAAGAATTAAAAGATTTCGGAGTAGTAGAAGTAAACAGTTCAACTTATCCCAACCCCAAAGGGAATCCAATCCAGCCTTGGAAACAGGTTCAGCTAGCCCAATGTTAGTCGGACTAGGAGCGTAAGCCACTCGACTGTCAGGAGAGGAGCGAGGCTAGGCTTGAACTGAACGTGGGTAGCATTTGAACGCGCGGAGCGAAGAGCTTTAGAGGGTAGGGGCGAGCTTTAATTGAAGCAGGGAGTCAATTAACAACGAGGCCGTAGTTTACTAATAAGGACTATTGCGACTAATATAGCTACCCTGAAGAGAAGGAGGGCCACAAACAAGAGCATATTTTTTAGATATCCCCACAATTAGAGCTATTAGCTTAGCTGGAGTTTTGCTTGGTCGGCTGAGTACGGAACGCTAGCTCTCTCTACTTTAACACTTCGTTTACTGCTGGCCCGGAGTAAGACGTGCCACCTTAATGCACTAGCCAGTTAGAAGGATTTGAACTCTTACTGAACCGGCCTTCGAGACGAAAGGAACGAAAGCAGGCAACATGAATATGCTACTTCCTGCGAGAATGCATTATTATAATGGTTTGTCATGTTCCTACTCTAACTCCTGCGAGAATGGCCCTCCCTACTACAGACTACGCTCGGAAAGTCGGTGATAAGCAAGAAGAGAAGAATTTGAAAGAAGAAAGATGAAATCCTTGCATGAGAACCACACCTATGAGTTAGTAAAACTACCCAAAGGAAGAGGGGCACTCAAGAACAAGTGGGTGTACAAGCTGAAAAGTGAAGAGAATAGTTCACAACCAAGGCAAGATTGGTTGTGAAGGGCTTCAATCAGAAACAAGGCATTTACTTTGAAGATATTTTCTCACCGGTGGTGAAGATGACTTCCATTAGAGCAGTTCTTGGTTTGGTTGCAACGATGAATTTAGAGGTTGAGCAGCTTGATGTGAAAACTGCATTCCTTCATGGTGATCTTGAAGAGGAAATTTACATGGAGCAACCCGAGGATTTAAACAGACAAAAGCAAGAGGATGCTTACTATAGAACAATAGAAGAAGGTAGTCCCTACAGAAAGAAAAGGCCAAGTCCTTCATGGAGACCTAGGATTCTAAACCTTAAAGAACTACCTGTAAGTTAAGGAAGTAGTTAAAGCGAAACTGTTAAGGAGTTCAACTGCTTAACCATAGGTTTAAATATCCTCGACCATAGGGAAAGGAGGTTCCTAAGGGTAGTTTCTTTCTTAAAGGAGGGATTAAGATTAGCGTAGCGATATGGATTAAAGAAAGCCCTAAACCTTAACCTTATTTCTTACCTTAAAGCCATAAATAACAACATTGAGAGCTCCTTATGGTTAAATGAACGTAGTGAATGTAGCTATATCATT